CCCGGGGCCCGTCCCCTCACGATCCCGGCCCCACACGGCCGTGGAGGCCTGGGCGGGAGGTGCGTTCAGGGTCTGCCCGTCCCCCCGGGCGGCGGCCGCGCTTCCCGCAGGGAAGCAGAAGCCGGTGGTGCGGGGAGGGTGTGATGTGACACGAGGCTTTCTGCTTCGGCCCCCGGGGTGGCTCCCGAAAGGCCGCTTGGTTTCCAGGTTGGCGTATGCGAGGCTAAGGGTCGGCTGGAGCGATCGACCCTTGCTCCGGTTCCCAGCGAACATCCCTCTGAAAAAGAGGAGCTGAATAAAGCGATCGGCAAGCTCTTGAGTCTTCAGGGCCTCGGGAAGATTGCCGTACGTCTGAAATAAGACTGACCCGGTCTTCTCTGAACAATCGTATTTAATCAAAAAAGCCCAGAAACCGAATCGTTAGTATACTCTATTTATAGGAATGCAAGAACAGAAGATGCACAGTTTGAAGCTACATCTGTAGATGATCATATATACTGCAGTATAGTAATAACAACATGGGACAGCAAGTAATCACCTCACAACAGTACACATGAGTGATTAGACTTACAAAGGAAATATTTACAAACTTACCTTTACAAAACAACATTGTGTGCATACAAAATGAAATTCGCAATAAAACTGAAGGTACATTTAAGGCAGACCAGCAATACACTGAAATAATTAAGGCTGTGGAATTACTTTGCACCTTGAAAATGCTGAGCTGTTAGCAATACTGTTTCTTTTTTCCTCCTTCAGTTGATTGTTGAAAAGACTGAAAAGCATCAATATATTCCAACTGTTTGCTCTTATCTCAGTAAATAAGTCTGAGATTTAAGGGGTTTTTGCACTTTCTATTGCATTTGCCTTCCAAAAGTTATCAGCAAATTGACCTCAGTGGCAGAGCAACGCTGAACAGTTTGGTAGAAAGAGAAGTAAAAGCACCAGCATCAGAAGTTGGACATGAAGGTGATATATGGCTTGAGTAGAGAAGATGTTGGTTTTTCACTAGCTTCATAATAAAGACTACAGTTACAGCGAATATTCAGCATCCTGACGCTATGCTAACACTCACCACTATACAGATCCCAGAACGAGAATTCATCACTTGATGGCAGTGTGCAGCCAGCCTAGTAAAATGGGATTTTATTTTGTTTCCTTGGGAAAGCACCATTTTGTGATGGGACATGAAAGAATGAGCTGGAAAATAAATCCAAGCCCTGTGTTACAGGTGAATCTACCTCAGCAGTGAAAAGAACAGAAACAAAACCAGGTGGTTAGCCCCTGCGCACTTTAATTATCCGTTAGACCTTTGTATATACAGACTAGCCTTTGCGTCTGTCTCTGAAGTTTATGTTATCCCAGGTCACTTGATGCAGTCCCCTCATAGCAAGGGTATTAACGTATGGTTATATATAGTCAGCTCATAATGTGCAGTTTATTCACGGTATTTGTAACAAAGGCCTAATAGCATTGTCAGAAATTCTAAGAACTCCACTGAAGCCACAGACTTGTACAAGTCAGTTGAGGGCACAGACTTTGTCTCAGCATTAACTTAGTTTAAAAGTAAAATGCTTTTAAAGATAAATTTCACTGAAAAAAAAAATTAAATAAAAAGGCAATAAGGCTAAACAAGGCTTGTTGGTAGAAGTAGGAAGCAAGAAATTTTATAAATTTTAAAGCCTGGATTGTTTTAAAATATTAAAGTCTAAAGCCCTGGACTGGATGTGTGTCATCCCTGTAGTAATGTGCATAGTGGGTTTGGCACCTTGGTGGAGATGTGGGGATCACCCACGGGGCAGTAAGTGCTTCAGACGGCTGACGGGAGCTGACACTGTTACATGGGCAATCAGATTTCCCATTTGATGGCTAAGAGTGAAACGGCCCAGCCTGGCTGCTCCAAGCAGAGTGGAGAGAGAGAGAGGCGAGTTAGTTTCTTGTTGCCACGTGCGTTCATTAAAGGTAGCTATCTTAAATAATGAGTACCATATGTCACTGTGCACCATGGGCTCTGTTTCACTGGGGCCCTTGCTACTGTCTTTCTGCAGGCCTGTCACCCAGCCCAGCGCCGGGGAACACTGTGAGCAAGTCTACTTTGATGTCAGTGCAGGGTAAGAGCACCGTGAGGGCATCTGGAGGCGGTGGCTGTCTGCGTAGTGCCAGTCTGCACCGAGCTTGTGGTGCTCTGTTGCTAGTCTTACTGTTGGTCATTCTAGCTGGTCTGAAGCTGCCGCAGAAGCTAGAGGGTGCAGCTACCATCATGCCTTCACTTGGCCGTCTTGGGAATACCCTGAGTGGTAAAGCTGCAGGTGGAAATCTTCCCTGCTCTCTGGGGAGCTTGTAAAGGCCTAACGGAGCTTTATGAGAAACGGTGAGTTCCCCATGTTTGTTACAGGCAATATTTCATGCACAAAAAAATCCGATAGTGGAGAATGCTGCAAAGGGGGTTGGCTGTGGTGCTTCTCACCGAGTGGGCTCACTCCAGGCCTACTTACTGAGGTTCTGTAATCTCTTTACAACAGAGTTACAGTTTACAACAGAGTTACAGGACCTGGTGGATCTGCAGAGAGGCCACAGGTTGGCTGAAAAAATCCTTGAGAGAGCAAGGCCCAAATACTTCCTCTGTATTTATCATACGGCAGCATTTCATGTCAACTTGATATTATTCAGGCAAAAGAAATCTTTGAGATAAAATGCAAGAATGCTGATAATCACAAACATATCTGGCAGCGCTAGCAGGGTCAAATTTTCCTGAATGCACTGTAAGAAGAGCAGTGCCCAGGAAGAGGAGTTCTCTAACATGAATATGGAAAAAGCAGAACCATAAAGGAAAGCAACCCCATAACATTCAAAATCTTCAGAGTTCAGCACCTCCAACTCTCCCTTGACGAGGAATCTCTTTTTTGAATCTGAGCACCAATACCTTAACATGTATCCTCTTTTGGCCTTTGGGGGTTTTTTTTTCTCTGTTATTTGATAGCAATGAGAGGCTTAAATATTCCCTTAAACAACCCAGCTTTTTCCCCCTGTGCATCCAAAGTGTCTGCTGTTGCAGTTTGAGATGCAAATGCAGGAGGTAGGAAAATAAAATGCTAAATAACTCCAGATTTCATGTGATACATGAGAATTTGTTTGTATTAATGCCAAGCAGAAAGCCTGTGGCTTAAACTGTACCCACAGGCCTAATAAAAGCTGTGGGTTTTATAAGCCACACTTCCATAAACATTTTTTTAAGGGCAGCACAATCACAGCACAAAGAGCCAGCTTTGACAAACAGGAGGAAGTACAAACAGTCTCCTGCAGCGAGAAAGTACCTGAGGCTGGTGCTAATTAAAGACGCCCCTTGATGACTGCTGTCTGAAGAAGTTTCAGTTCCTAAGAAATCACATACTTTGCACTCTTGCTTAGGACCAGCATCTGGTCTTTGTCTAAGAGGTGCTGCTGGATTGCTTAGAAAATTAGCTGCTGCACTCCAGAGGGGAACTGAGATACGTTCTAGCTGATCCAGAAGGTTTAGCCTTCTGTGAACACTGTCTCTTTCAAGCCTTTCCACAACTTCCCCTTGTACTAAATCTCTCTCCACCAGCCACACAGCCTCATACACCGATTCTGACTCTGCTCAGGCACCCAGGCTCACCCTTCTGACTGTGGGTCCCCAACCTCAAGGTCTGTCCTTGTATTGCACGCACGCGGTGCTGGATGTTGGGGTTTTTTTGCTGTGCCTCCTTTCTTCTCCACTAGGAAAATACTGACCACTCCAGCATACTGATAGAGCAAGCACAAAGAGAAGGGCCAGATCTCCTACCTGCCATGAAACTGAGCTTGGAGGTGGATCAAAAAAAGGGGCTAGCAGAGCCCTGGGAATTTAACAGTACTTGCAGAGTATCTCCACCACCTGCTGGCAAAGACAGCTTTTGCTCCTGCAGATATGTCGCAGGCTCACAGTGCAGTTACTTAGATGGTAAATTAAATTTGGCTCTTGCCCTTACAAGAGAGTCTATACTGAGCACACGTGGTCATATCAAGCCCTTTTCCTTAGGAAAACCTTTGGTAACAACTGACATTTCCCATTACAGGCACGGCAATGGCACTCAGCACCGAGACAAAGTTCTCGCATACCAGGGGAAAAAAAAAAATCTCTTTGATCATCACCCTATAAGGCTGTAGAGTTTTATGGTGCAGCAGCAGGATGGGGAAGTCCCAGCTCGGGAGGTGTTTCCCCTCCTAGTCCCACTGCTAGAGAGGAAGATTTGGCCAGCCTACGAACTGCTGATTTGTCCCTGCAGACTCCCTGCGTTGGTTATACTTAAGGCTGGCTCCATCACTGTAACATCAGTATGATGATGTTGCAACTTGGCTTGCAAGAGAGAAATGTTTTAATTGTGAATATTTTTTATTTTATTACAAATTAGGCTTTGGACATAAAAATATCCTCATGAATGCTTTGGTGATGAGGTGCTAACAGCGGCTGAGAGATATTTACAAGTTTGGAAATGAAACAAATGACATACTTTAAACACTGAAAACGATTTTCAAGCTGTAAGCACAAGGATGAACTCACCACTCCTACTGCACTCTGAAAGGCTTAGATGGACTTTGGGCCAAGCAATTCTGAAGCTAGAAATGGAACAGGATCCTTTATATATATATATATATATATTTATATATATGATACAATATATGTATTCTGAAAACCTGTGATAGAAAAAATTGTCTTCATCATCATCATCTAGTTTACAGATACTGCAAAAATTGGACACAGCCTTTTCTCAATGCACAGGTTTTGCAAAAGATTTCTGTACAGTGTGTATAAAATGCTTTTAAAAAAACCATCATAGTCCCATTGTGCTTAGTCAAAACCAGCTGTATGCTCCAATGAATTCACTGCCTTAATCGTAGCTCCAAAAGGTACTGCATGTTGACTTGACACAGCCGAAAGCCCAAGGATTAATGGGGGATTTTGGTCTGAGCACTACCATGCAACAAGAGTGTATCTAAGCCACGCCACCACAGAAGCCAATCCAGCAGTGACTACGGCCTGATCTTGCATGTCCTATGCAGGCAAAGTCCCCACTGAAATCATGGCAGACCTGGACATACGGGGTGTGCAAAATCTGTTAACCTGGAGCAGGCTTGCAATGATTTCAGCAAAACCTGACTTCAGTCCAGTTCTGCAGTACATGCTAAGGTCAGCCTAGTCTCACTCCCCGCCACTATCCTACTCCTAATCTCTGATACATTTTGAAATCAGTTCAGCAAGATCAAGAGGATTTCTTATAAGGCTGCCTCACAAAGATTAAGGCAACTGCAATTTTGGCTCTTGTTTCCAGTTGGTGTTTGCTTCCCACAGTCCTTTTTTGGCGGTGGATGCAACAATACCACGTGTCCCAAGAGGCGCCTGTGGGTCCCAAGGGGAGGGAGCGGGTACCCGCCACCGTTCCCCACTTTGCTTTGGTCCTGAGGAACTGGGCAGGTACTGCCACCTCCGCAATGATTTGTACCCTGCAGTTAGGGAAGCCACGTGAAATGCAAACGCCGAATACGGGACTATGTACAGACAGATCTGCTTTGCGCCTGCTCGCTCCCTGCACCTCGCCTCAGGACCAGCAGTGTAGGACCCCAGGGATGGAGGCATTACGTGCCTGGGTTTAGCCTGCTCATCAGGAAACTCTTGACGCTGGGGACCGGGTGCACGTCATACTGGTGCCTGCGGCGCTCGATGAAGGAAGCCAAGCGGGAGGTATCCAGTGGGATCTTGGAATAGCTGCCATTGTGCGGTTGCAGCCATGGATGCTGTAAACAAGTGGCTGCTGTTGGCCTTCTCCTGAACTCTTCCTGGAGAATAACATTGATGAAATCCCTGGCAGCGTGACTCACATCGGAGAAGTACTCGGGTGGGAAGCTGAAATCTACTCTGCACACATTGATACAAGTCTCCTCTTTGCTTTCATCCAGGAACGGAGAAACGCCACTTAACATGACATAGGTGAGGACCCCAATGCTCCAGATATCTGTGCTCAGGGAGACAGGAAGGCCTTGGATAACTTCAGGAGCAGCGAACTCCGGGTTTCCGAGGAGGTGGTGGATGTGGTAATGACCTGTGATCTGAACTGCATCTTCCAAATCAATGATCTTGACACGAGGTACTGGGATTCTTAAATCAATGAGCAGATTTTCTGGCTGTTGAAAAGATAATAACAAAAACTTAATTATGTTATATTTTTGCAAATAAAATGTGTAGATTTCATTTAGGTTTAATAGCCAATCAAAACTCGCATTTAATCACATGTGCGGGGTACAGATCAGGAGAGTGAATGACAAGGAACCAGCTCAGCTGCTGTTTACACTGCTGTAAATTCAGATCAACGCTGAAGTTGCAATGACAACATCCTCTTTTGCACTAGGGCAACACACTAGGATTTTGCACTTTGTCCTAAATACTCATAGTTTATTTTCCCAAACTAATCTCTACAGATTAAGAGCACTGACAGATTTTTAAATTTTCATAAGACTTGTGTATCTCTGATCAGTTTATTTAGATTCCATTTGTTTACATGACAACTGGTTACATAAATGTGCATAACTTGTAGCAGAAATGTTCTTAATGAAGTAAATGCTCAACTTTGCTCCCGCTACCACGTATCCTGGGAGGACTCTGGTGCGTGCCATTACTGTTGCTGTCAGTTGACATGGATGGAGCTGCCAGCATTCCTTTATAAACACCAGCACACAGTCATGCCTTCCAAGCCAGAGTGCAGATATATTTCATCCCAGTTGTTTTTCCCTCTGTTTTACCAACTCTTTCAGTATTTAAGATCTCTTTCTCTCAGTTGAAGATGCTGAGCATTGCCTACACACTCTGCTCTGGGGACTTAACATGGATTTTACTTCCTTTGTTGGCTCTGAGATGATTTCTGAATTTACTACCTGCACCCTCTCTAGACTCACTTTTCTGTCCTATAGCCTCTCATCCTCATGCATATTTTACTGCTGCCTCATGGCTATATATATAAAGCAAAGTTCACTACAGTGCTGTTCAAATCTCTCCGCTCTTCTCTTGTGCAGTCTGCATCAACAAAATCAACATGTTCATGAGCAGGATCATGGGACAAGACAGTCCATGGCTAGGCCTGCTGTCACTACCAATGCATGTCCTGCTTCCCACTTAGCAACAGAAAGTACTTTATTTAGCATCCCTCATTCAGGAGAACTGTAAATAGGTCACAGAAAATTGGCTTCCCACCTTGTTTCTGGGAAGTATGTTATGATCGAATAGAGAATTCAGTGCAGTTTCTTACCTCCAAGTGATACCTACTTTTTGACAGGTCCTATAAATACAGCAGAAAATACAAACTATCTTACTGAAAGAAACCAGGATGATTTAGCCTTTTGGGACTAATGCTTACATAAGGTATTGTACAAAACGAATCTTTTTTTTTTGTTGTAGTGGTAGTAGGCAGCAGAAGAATGAAAGCATCACTTCATCTGACATGGCTGGGGGTTGGAGAATTGAGAAGAGACCTCCTTGGAGCTGCATTGTCCACTATACAAGAAAGTTTAATTCATCTCTCATTCTCCATTTTTAATTGGCATTTAAGTCTAAAAAAATATCATAGATTATCTGATATCACTGGCAACCATCATCAATGTTGCAGATCACAAAACTCAAAACACTTGATCATAACTTCAATTGCTAATTCTCTGTCATCCAAGACAACTAGGATGTTGGTGAGGACAGCAGTACAATGCCGAATCCAGGACAGTACAGTGCCTCCTGCCATGTGCGCTAACAAAAGGAGGTACGAGCTGTGCTAATCTAACTGAGCGTGACATTAGAGAATGCCTGAATTTCTCTGTAATGCAGCTCGTTCTTCCTCTGCACCTCTCCCTGGGTGTATTTCCCACCCAGTTCCCCTCGCAGGCTCTGCAGCACAATGCAGCGTGCTGCTTTCCTTTGCCCCTGCCAGCCCTCCCCACCTGCTGCTCCCCTGCACCCTCCCCTCCCCTTGTTTCGGGCTCTCCGCGGGTGTGAGGGAGACGTGTGTTCCTTCTGGCCTGCCCTGAGCTGCCTGGGCACAGGCCAGCTCTGCTCAGGAAGCTTGGTAGCTGAGTTGGTACAGGTGTGAGCCCAAAGCATACCCCGTGGATTTATCTTATAATTCCCCTTCAGTCAGGAGCTAGTGACATCTCACTCTTGTCTCAGACATCCTCCTTCTCCTTCATTAAATGCAGAAAGCCCTTGAGAACAAACCAGTGAATCAAGGAAATAGGCGCATCTCTTCTCTGAAGGAAGAAAAAGACCTTGCGCTGCGGGTCAGGAAGTCCTTTCTCTGGTCCATAGGTCTGAAAGATAGTGCTTGTCCATTCCGTGATCATCTCTTTGGGGTACAGACTGCACCTCCTCCCTGTCTGTGCAGCTGGGAGCTCTCTGCACCAGCTTACTGAATAATATAGCATCATTCTCTTTTCTTCCTACCTTTATGTCTAAGTGAGCCACTCTGCAATTGTGAAGGTACTGCAAGGCTTCCATTGTGTCTTTTATATAGAAAGCGACTTTTTCCTCCATAAGTTCATCATGGTTCATTAGATAATCTAAGAGACGACCGTCATCCATCCTACAAAAAAATCAAACCCTCCACATGAAAGATCACATGGTATATCTAGGAACACTTAATATTTGACAACAAAATTGCAATGGAAATTTCGTGACCTAAAAATGGAGGAAACTAAAATGCAAGATCTGATGAGTATTTAATGATATCTCAAGATACTGCAGGCCATGAAGGCAGTAGAATGATTAATCCTCAGTTGTTATCTCTGGTCCTTGAAAAATTTAGCAACAGTCTCAAAGTAAACTCATTTGCTTAAGGATGGATTCAATAGATGGGGGCAATTCCTTTGAAAACAGATCCTCTCAATTATTTGGATTCATCTATTTATTTATAGAGCTGGTTGCATAATGCAGAAAAAAAATCACTGACATTTTCAGCTGGTAATAGGTTCTGTGGGAAAACTAACCCAATAAAAGTTTTCCACCTAGTTTTATTTATCTGTATAAATAAACAAGCAAATAGCCCAAATATACTTTGTTGGATATAGTGTAACAAAGAAGCATTTTGGATTCTGGTTGCTACATCTCCTTATAGGGGCAAGCATAGCTGCTACACAGCTCTTTCCACCAAGTATTAGAACAATGTAGGCTTCAATTTAGCTGAAACACATTTACTCGAATATAAAAAGTGGGCAAAACTGCCCAAATAAATCTGATGCTATTCAGTGGGACAAACTAACTGCTGATACAATTATCCAAGCTTCACCAGAGTAGAAAGCAGTTTTATTTGTCCCTCTGAATCTTATTTACTGTAAAGAAAAGGCAGTGGAAGCTGCAGAAAATGGCTATTTCATCTGACATCACAATCAATAAAAAACAGGTGACAAAATCTTTGCCCTGCTGAAGTCAGGGTGAATTTTATCCTTGGCTTTAATAGGGCTCTGATTCCTACCCAGACACTTGAATTCAAGCTCCATGTACTTACAGTTCCAAAACTAAGATGTAAGAAGTAGGAGACTCATAGGTATCATGGATAGTGATGTACTGAGGATGCTGTAAGTGCTGTAACAAAGCTGCTTCGTGCGCTGCCTGCTCTTTCTTTTTCATTTTTTTACTAATGAATTTTACAGCAACGTCTTTCCGGGTGGCTTTGTGAACGCATTTTTTTACTATGGAGAATCGACCCCTGAAATAAAAAAAAACAATAGAATAATGAAGGGGCCTCATGAATAAATCATGCCTAGTTTTCAGTGCAATAACAGACTGATTTTCAAAGTGTTGTTTGTTTCAGCACATTAATATTTCACAAAGAATCAGATTTAACAGGTTTTTCGTAACCTTTTCCGAAAAAGAGCCTCCATCTCTTACGCCGGGTGTAGAGATTCTTTGGGGATTAGCAAACACTGAGAGCAAACGGTGTCACTTTGCTTTGCGCAGCCATACTGATGTCCTCTAACAATCTCCCCCGGGTTCAATTTGCTGCCACTTTTACAGGTTCTGTCTCTTTTTAGCTGCGTGTCTCCCTTCTCCAGTTGCTTTAATAAAGAGCCCTAACTTTCTCAGACAACTAAAAGAAAAGCCTTGTTAAATAATCACTAACCTATCATTTTGTCTCACTGTTTCAGGCACACCGTAAGAAATTAAGAAAAAAGCTGGCAGGAAAGCATTACGGAACTCATACAGACTAGTGCCTAGTACCACTCCTGGAAGTAAAACTACTCAGTGAAACCGTGTGCTGAACTTGGCCTCTTATTGATACATCACTCTTCTTTCCACAGAACCAGATACTCCTGTCCCTTCAGCCCCAGAATTACCTCTGATCTCTGAGCTGAAGAACTAACTGCATTAACCTGAATTGTTTGCACGCCCCTTATCTGTTGTCTGCACAGAGAGCACCTAGGGCTGACAAGGTATGCAGCTCCTATTTAGGCTCCTGTTCAACTGACTGTCCCAATCAGCAAAGTGCTTCGGCATGTGATTTAAGTCAGTCACATGCTTAAGTGCTTCAGCAAACTCAGCCTTTGAGGTTAAGCTTATCCAGAACCAGCAAATTGTCATGACTTCAAAAGCTCACATCAAATCAGAGATGACAGAGGAGATACCAGCGAGAGCTACCAGTGGCTGTCAGAGATTTGGCTGCCTAATTGTTCACCAGTTTGCCACGTTACAATCCTCAAATCACAACCGATCTTGAAAAACAAAACTTAGTATTTTAACCAGTCTGTATTTTAATCAGTAGTTAATGTGCAATGCTCTTTGAAAGGAGCAGCAATTTTCAAGCTAACTACAAAAAGCAACTTAAACTTTCCACCAAGGAAAAAGCTTCAAGCCATTGTTTTGGTATTTTATTGCAGTGATAAGCAGGGTTAACATTACCTCCCAATCTCATGCAGCTCTGCATAAGCGAGGTCAAAGTTTTCCTTCCATGAAATAGTGGCACCATCAGCAGCAGAGTCTTTGGGAGAACAAAGCACATTCAAGAAAGCATAAAGTTAAAGACAGCTTCCTGTGGACTATAAATGGTATATTTTAAAATTATGTGAGACTACATTACTTAAAACAGCGAACATTACCACTAGGAGTCCAGTTTCATACTGCTCAGGCACAGCTTCAATGTGTTGGACCACTAAAAGCCAGAACTCCCCAGAGGAAGGTACGGATAAGGTGGATTGAAATCTGTCCTTGCAATTTTGGGCTGAAAAGGGCCACACAGACAGTCTAAGAGCATGTCTGTGTGCAACCGAGAGGTAGAGCTATGCTGTGTGAGCTCTCGTTTCATCCAGCACAGGCTATCCAAGCCAGTCACAGACCTAGTTATGCACTGGAGTTGCTAAAGCATGGGGAAATGTGGGGTCTGCTCACAGCATCGTTGTGAGTGAGCTGTACCCCAAGTTTCTGCAGCACCATGCGCTGGGGGCTCGCCTCCATTGCAGCCTTCCTATGCTGGCTGCATTGCCTGGTGGGGTACGTTTTGCAAGCTGACTTGCAGACTCCAGCTGGGCTGCCCAGCAGAAGTCCCTTGTGCTGCCAGCATTGCTGGAAAGGCAGGGGGGACACCAACCAGGACAGGGAGCCTGCTGCCCAGAGATAAAGACAAGAAATAATCTTGGGATAGAAAGCAGGGAGCTGCTAGGAAACTGCAATAGCTTCTGTGACAGAGGGAGGCTGTGAGCCCTGCTGGAGGAGCAGACATGAAAAGCCTTTCTAGTGGCAGGAGCTGGTTCTGAGCACCTCCCAGGGTATTTCTTGTATTCCTACCAGGTCCGGGATCAATGTTTTTATCAGGGCCCATCAAAACACACCATACAGACCGCATAGGTGGACACTTGTGTGCATCAGTCCCTCCTCGCCATGCCCACTCACCGTACTCTGGGAGCCTCACAAATTCAGATGGGTCACTGGGCAAGCTGATCCCCCAGGGATTGCTGGCGCTCACTCGAAACTGATACTGGCAGCCTGGGGCCAGGTCCTCAATGACGAGGTACGTGTCCAAAGTTGAGGCTACCGACTGCTGCCAGACCTGCGAGCCTGCGTTTTACAGAGGGAGAGAAGGAGAGCTGAAGGAATCAGTCTCAATACGTGAACTTAGAGCAGAAGCTTTCTCTGCCCAACTCATGCAGTACCCTGGGAGGTTAAAATCCACAGGGTTTTTAAAAGGCAACGTTATGGCAGACCAATGTATTTCTGTTAAACCATAACCAGACCACAGGAAGCTATTTTGTGTTGCAGCCACCTTCCGGTCTGGCTAAATGAGGGAAGAAGGAAATGCCCCTCATTTGACCGATTGCAACGGAAAAAAAGCAGCCCAGGGACAAGTTGATCTCTCCAGCAGTCTAGCTGTGGCTGTGTGCTACAAGCGATGTCTCAGGGCAGCGTGATAAGACAGGAACGGAGGGCTGATTTGATGACAGCTCTGCTATGAGAGAAATGCTAGCAGAAATACTGCAAAAAAAAATATGGACAAGGGAGTCCCAGATGAAGCTGAGACAGGGCATCAGTGCAATCCAAGCGCTTTTGTAGATGAAGTCTTCTTCAGAAGATGTGGAGCTGCAGGAGGAGAACCAGCTTTCTGAAGCTTAGTATGGGCTTTTTGCAGATGGGCAGGATTGCAGCAAAAAGAAATGTGTGACTCTGTCGTGTGTTTCTGCTCCTAACAGAAACAAACCCAATCATTGCCTCACCTGTGGCATCCAAAGCAGCAATACTCTATTCATCTGCACAGGGTCACAGAACAGAAAAGGACCCCTGGGACACTGAGCCCTGTCACAGCCTATGATTTCTTTCAAAAATATACAAAATTTTATCTTATTTTAGTAAGTTCAGGGCTTTTTACCTTTACATTATTTACCATGACCCATACATTTTGTGTGTGTTGTGGGCAAATTCTGATTGTCAGGTCTCACAAGGTCAAGGCTGGTTTTACAAGGAAGAGTCAGTGATTTCTTTGGAGTGGGAGGAATACTGAAAACTGAAAACACTGCTGCTTTTTTGATGTTTGTTTTGGTGGCTGTTGTTAATAGAAGAGCTTTTATTCTTTCACAAAATGGCAGTCACACTGATGGCACAGTGAGGGTCGAGGCAGAGTATTTGCTAAGAGAAGGTATTAATATGATGGAGTGATTAAGTTTGCACATTTACTAACATGAGGTAGGATTTTTTGAAGGATAAAGGGGAAAAAACAGAGGCCACATACCTAAGGCAAGGTTTACTGCCCAGGAACCCTCACACCTTTGCAGGAAGAATGCAAAAAGAGATCTGAATCATTTCAAATGCCCTTTTCAAGAGCACATGCCTGTGCATATTGGGGAAACAGTGCATTTAATATCTGTTTAATTCTTCAGGGGAAAAAGATGGTTGGATTTAAGAACAAATGGATTTCAGAGCTGAGCTTGAAAAGTATGCAGTGATCTGCAACTCTATCCAGATCAAAAAAATGATGAGGCTGCTTTGTTTTTGCATTCCCAGGAAACATCCACCAGAAAGGATGGATACCATGGTGGTAGAATGCAAATGATGAAACGATGCCTTACTGATGGATATGTTTTAGCTTAGCACACTTTACTTGCCATAAGTGACTGGAGGAAACAGAAAGGTCTGTAATATATGAGAAGTTGGACTGGATGATAGAAGGGCTTCTTTTGGCCTTAGACTTTGGGATCTGTGAGCAACAGCTAGTGGCACCCCAGTGGTGGGCAAGGATGCTTTTGGGACCTGTTGTGCCATAAAGGAGACTTTCTTTGTTCTCATTCTTCCAGCCAGTGAGCACAGCTCAAACCACTTACCTTCTTCTCTGTACTCCACAGTGTAGCCTGAAATGGTGCAATTGCCTGTACTGGATGGGGGTAGCCAGCGTAGGATCACAGAGGTGCAGCTTCTCTCCTGAGCAATGGGGCGATTTGGGGCAGCTGGGACACCTTGGGAAGAGAAAACAAGCACCAAGTCCAGCACCACATCAACAAGCACTAGTGCTTTATTCTGAAGATCAGGTGTATCAGGTACATCAGGTCACTACAGGGCAGCTGCGCCTTGCAGAGGGAGCACTCTAGCTTACACTGGGTTACCAGCACAACCAGAGGAAAGGCAATGTCATGGTCCCGTTCACCTGCCACCGTGGGCCTGATACTTCCATACTAGCAGCTAGGAGAGAACCGTGCTGCTTGCAAGCCCCGCTGCCTCAACATAGTCTCACAGTACTACAGCACAGGGGGAATTTCTTCTTGCTCACAACTGGTGGTCAGCTAGACTGCGACACCCCAGAGAGCTCCCTGTGAGACTGGCCGGGAGAATCACCCCTTGGGTGTAGAGGATCTGCCTGAGCTCAGCTGCTGTAAAGGCAGAGCCTCTTTACCTGCCACTTTCTGCTGCTAATTTTTGCTCCAGCTCAAGACCTGATGCAAAGTCCATGGAACTGAGGAAAAAAAATATTCCCATGGACTTCACCAAGCAGTGCGTGAGGTTCTGGAGGTAGGGAGGCAGTTACTATTGAAGTGTCCAAAAACGACACAAGGCAGGCATTCAGAGTGCTTCTGTGTGTATGGTGCTTGGTATGTTTGGCAGCAGATTGACAAATGACCAGTAATTCTTCTGTGCTTTGCTCAGGGCTCCCTTCAGCACAGGAGTAGTTAGTGCAGCCACTAACTTGCTTGGATAAATTGGGGAAATTATATCTCTAGGGCAGTTTGTGAGGCCAAACAAATCTACTTCTAAATGCTTGTGACACTCCTGCATCTGTAAGTCACCAGTTAGACATTTGTCTCTGTGCTATCCCCATCAAGGCAGCAGGCACCTCTCATCTCTCACGCTAACAGATCCCTTCCCAGAGCTGAAGGTCATGAGCATCAACTTATCATTTCATATTCATGACAATTAGATGGGCCACTAATTACAGTGCTGAGAATTCAGGCTCGGAGACATGGCTCCAAGTTGAATCCCTGCAGAACAGTTCACCTAGGCCAAATCTTACTCTCACCTCCTCTGTCCCCCACAGAGAAGGGGAGGCTGAAAATCGGTGTCACTGGATCCCAGGTCCCCCTGCTCCAGGCAGACTCTAAAGCACAGAGCTCCCTGCGGGCTGCCGGCACATCATTCTCCCAGGGGCTCGGTAGCCTGAGGGAACTCAGCTTCCCCCGGCTGACCTGACTGAGCCCCTGGGAAGCAGCGCTGTGAGCAGAATACAGGAGCTGAACCAGTGCCAATGCCTTTTCATTTCCCAGATGTGATGCTTATGATCAGAAGACTCAATTAAGCGCAAAGAGTCTGCGATGCCTTCAGCCATCAGTGGGAGTCTTGACTGAGGAACGGTTGTATGATTTTAATGTCTTGATTCACCTGGCACAGCTCCACATCTGGCTGCCTTTGCACTGGCTATTCCTGTGTGCTCCAAGCCCCCACCAAGGGACCCCATACAGGAGAAATCCTGGGTGTTAAGGTCAGATGCCGCTACCTTGAACTTTGATGGTTGCAGAGGTTGATGCGGTTCCGTGTTCATTGGTTGCCACACAGGTGTAAATGCCACTGTCCTGAGGCATCAGGTTGCAGATCTTCAAGGTGAGCTCCCCGGAGTCACTGTGGATGCAGGAAGCCCCAGTTACAAAGTACTGCTTCACTTGCTAATGCTTTTTATACCAGCTCCTGTCCTCATTACAAACACACATGCACACAAATCCTGTTAACTCATTTGAAGGAACATCCTCCCAGCAATTCGGTACCCAAGTACAACCCCTCCATATGGCAGGATTAGGCTGTTAATGAAACCTTCGAGGAGAATGGTCCAGATTGCCTGCCAGGCAAATCTACTTGTCTGCTGTGGCCTCGGAGGAGATGGGGAAGGGTTACTCGAGCAGCAAGCAAAGTCCAGGAGCTGAACATTTACTGTGCCTGTCCAGAGCTGGATGCTTAGGCTCCATATATCTGGAAAGATTTCCCCAGGCACATCTTTCCTATCTCAGGAGATGCTGAGCTGCCTCTGCAGTTAAGTCCAATGCACACCAGACAAATTGGGCTTCCCGCAGATGTAGAAGGTGGTCACACAGTGCAGGGTGCCTGATATTTCTGAGGAGCTTCAGACCCCTGGAGCATGTGCTGTTGATCTAATGTGGCTGCTGGGCCCCTGGTTGGAAGGCTGGACATCTCACAACAGCTAGGGATAAAGAACACCAGTGCCCAGTTCATGAGAGACACTCAATCTTTGGGCCAATCTGAGAAAATAAACAGCTCGACGGAGTCTAGTGGATTTATAGCAGGTCTGTACATAGTCACTTCGGTTTGCACACTGCAGTCTTCAATATACAATTTAAAAGAGTTGGCCTGAATTAAAGGATTTTGATTGTGGAACTGCTTTAGCTGCACTGGAGACCCAGCTTAGAGCCAACAATAAATTCCCTTGATGGCAAAAGTAGACTAGTTCTTGAATGCGTAATTTATCAGAAACTGCAGAAGGACATGGTTGCCGGTATAACTGCCTGGACGCTATGGCTTTTGCTGGTCTGACTATGCTGGTTTGAAACAGGACATAAATATCCCCTTCCCCCACAATCAGGACACTCATGCCAGCAAGATTTGTAAGACAGCCACTGATCTGCTGGGCCTGTTCTTGGCAGGCAGTGTCTTCACTGAAAAACAAATACAAGTAACAAGACAATGCAAGTGCCGAGAGTGCACAGGGAGCCAATGCACAGGCAGAAGACTGTGATGGAAAACAGGACCCTGTAAGGAAATATCCCCCTATCCCAACCCCAGCCAGAGCCCAAAGATAAGGCACTAGCAATCTACTGAGTAATGGCTAAAAAGACAATTTTGGGTGCTCTAGGGCGGCCGCACAAGCCAATGGTCTCTGAAGGAAGCTCTTGATCAGATGCAATTTTTTTATTGAACATGTAAAATCCCTTCTCTCTTAGCGTTCATTTTCCGCTTTCAGTGACTTTGTAGTCCCTGGATTCATCTCAGCCTGAGCCAGAAGTGCTGAAAAGTTAACATGAAAGATTACCTCCCAGAGATTTCCACTGCAGTTTGGCCTAAATCGTTTATATAAGCTGCAGATGAGCATCCAGCAGCACGCTGTTACCTGACCTGAATTCAACTCCAGATCTTTTTGGATATTCCCAGTGCTTGTTGTAAAGATGGTTTTCCTCCCCGCTAGCCAGGCCGGGAACAACATAACAAGCATCTTTCTGTCCAAGCAAAGCCAGATGCAGCCTTCCCAGGAGCACATGTAGACTCTTTTAGGAACAGCTGAGGAAAGGCTCAGAAAAACTGCAGGAGTTACCACCTCTGCCCATGAGATGAGAAAATGCCCAATGATATGGGTATTGCAAGCCAGTGAGGGCTTGCTCTGCTCAACTCCTGTTCCTGCCAAAAGCGAGCACGGCATCAAACTCAAGCAGAGAAGCCCCAGCAACACAGAGGCAATATTAGCCAAACTAATATGTTGGAAACATTCTGGCTTCTGGCTTGCACCTGGCTTAGGAGGTCAATAGGAGCAAGCTCACGTCTGCCAGCAACACGCTTTGTGGATATACCCCATGTCAGCTTTGGAAATGATAGAGCTACCTGAACCCCAAAGTTTGACCCTTTCTAGCTGACATGTGGTGCAGCGATGTGCTGATACACCATGTCAGACCTGATTAACTGTATTTCTAATGAGCCTTGTAGCCTGGCTGGTACCATATTTGAGGGCAACATGACCATCATGACCAGCTATGTTGGGATCCACAGGCAGGACCTTACCAAGATGACACCGTGTAAGTGGCTGTGCTGTTGTCATTGTCAAGAATGTTTTGATCTGGTCCTTTCCAGGTTATAGTTGGTTTGGGCCGTCCACAGACTTTGCACTGCAGCATCACTGTGTCACCAAGCAGGCAGGTGATGTCCACTAATGGCACAAGAAACTCTGGAGCCACTGGAAAAAAACATGGGGACACACACGGCACCTTCTTTTAAGCTGCAGGTGAGGATGTTCCCGATGTGAGTCTAAAGAATACATTACAGGACCAACTATGGGATCTGGGTCCCAAACAGGTGGGGGTCCTGGGATTATGTTACCAGAATTTCCCCTTCAGTAAAAGCCAGCTGTCGACAGCTCAAGGAAGGAGGTAGTGGGGACTGTCCGACCCCCAGCCCTGTGCTCTGGCAGGTGGGTGAGACTTTGTGAAGGCAGATTTGGGGGCTTCAGCCTTGCCTGTGGCCCCAGGCTGTCTGAGCCGAGCAGCCAGCAGGAAGACTGCTTTCCCTGGGGACCGAGCAGTGGAGAGCTGCCTTTGCTGTAAATGCTGGTGGGTGCAAAGCATGCTGTTGCACTGGAGTAAATCACAGCTGCTGACTTGCCCCTCCATGCCAGTCAGTGCACAGCTGTCCTTAACTCACCTTCTTGAATGAAATTGGGGTTGATTATCTGTAAAATACAAAGAAATAAAAGCATTTATTTTTCTGGACAGTGACAAAGAGACGTCTGGTTTCACAAGGTACCGTGGTGAACCTGACCAGAACCGCAGAAGCACTGACTAGTGGCTATAAGCAACCTCTAACAACCAGGGCACGCAGCAAACTCTAGTGATAACAGAACAAGCCCATGCACAGCTGGGAAGGTAAATGAAAGCTACAGTTTCTTGAACTCCGATAAAGCATGACAGGTAACAGGCACAACACTAAGGCTGAGGAGGGTGGATGTGCTTTCTCTTTGCTTGGGTGATAATGCTCAAGCCATTAACTCTTCTTCTCGGAGGTGGTTTGTGCCTCTCTGTGCCTGGCTCCAGACCCACGTCACACAGCACCTGCAGTCACCATGCACCTGGGACATCTCACCAGCACTCTGGCCACTAAACCGGCTTTGGGGAGACGTCTTTTAACTTCTGCTCAGCTTCAGGAAAAAAAGGTAAAGCACTAAACAAGAAATACTGTCGTCTTTTTGTCTACTGGCAAGTACCAGTCCCGCAACAACTCGGCCTATCACAATGAGTAGAATTTCACTCATTTCATTGGACTGCTGGAAAATTTTCAACTTGAAACTAGGTTTGGATAACTGAGAGTTATTTTTTCTAACTAGTTAATTGATCAAGTTAGCAAAGACTTGAAAAGCTACTGTATCTCTGTGGCCAATATATGACAATTACCTCATGTAACCCTGGAAGCAAAGTTGGGAAAAGCAAAGACAACGCCACTAAGTTCTTACATGCAGCATCAATCCTAACTACATAGTGGTGTACAATAGTATAGAGGTTTTAGCCTCATTAACTGTTTTAATCACCTCATAAGGCCTTGTTATCCAAATTCAAACTAATAATTTGACATCAAACACCATAAACACCAGTGTGGTTTATCTCGCCTTAAATATCTTTGTTACTATCTATTTCAGAGCTATTTTGGAAGATGCCAATGAAGCAGTAACCTAATTCATGGCCTGCCAAAGCTGATGGAAGTTTTTTGCGGAGGCTCAGAAATGAGGCCATGAAGCAGAAGCAATAACCCTTCAAAATAACATAGATACATCTTCAAGATGTATATTTATATTTTGATTTTATAAGTAGTTTTCCAAGGTGAATAGCTCAGGGTGCCATTCAAGGAGACACTTGAGCATATTCAGGTTCATTTTGGTTTCATAGCCCTTCTTCATAGTCCCAGGCAAACCTCTGGTACCAGCACTGAGACCTCAGGTTCTGCTTTCCCCTATTACCACCAGAAAGCCCAAAGGAACCAGGCATAACATGGTCTCACCACTCACAAAGGTTAATTTTTTCCCCATAGAAACATACCTTACATCAACAAATTCCTCACCATCTGAGACAGAGACTATCCTTTGTCCTAGCAATAGGTAGAATTTGATCCTTCGGGACACATCGACAGAGAACACAACGTTCACAGTACTGGCTGAAGCAACTGGTCAATGCCAATGCTTTATGCTCTGCACTTGAGAAACGAGTAGGAGCTGCTGCCTGTGGGCAAAGCAGGTTTCAGTCCCTACCATGTAGTCAGACAGTGCTAAAGGTCTGCACCTGGTGGGCAAAAGTGTGATGGTTTGCACTCTTACATGCTCTCAAGACGCTGAGATTTCAAATGTTTAATTCCCAGCAGCCTGGAAGGAGTCAACCTCTGCCTACATCCCTGGAGAGGACTCTTTGAGTGCTATGACTATAATTAGGACTTCTTATTTTTTAAAGCCATGTTGGGGGCACCTCTGCGGTGAGGAGGGTGCAGGAAAGGAGAGCGTGCCACCCCTGCAATGGGATGGCACAGCAAGGCTTGGCAGGCAGGAGCCTGAGCGGGTGAGAGAGCCAGCCAGGCCGTGTCAGGTCTTCCTCCTCCTGGCAGCACCTCTTGGCCCTGGTTTTGCTTGGGAAGCACAAAGCCCCATCTGAAGGGTGCAGCTGGGCACCGACGGGGACATCTGGCCAGCCACCCCAGGAGCCTCTGAGAGGGTGAGGGGCTCAGAGGCAGTGATTGCTGCTCCGCAGGGTCTGGGACCCACATATGACCTGCTGGATCCCCTTCTCTCCCACCTGTGCATGTGGAAAAGGAGAAATGGATCTTAGCGATTAAGTTGCATCGCTCACACAACACAGCAAAGGAAGAAAAAGCTGTTCTGTGGATAACTATTGCTCACCACTTTTCACGCAGTGAGACCATCTACTTATCAGCTGAGTAACCCCAGGCATCAGCTCATTTGCACATACATCTTCGTTTTTGTAGTTTTTGGCTTAACTAGAATACACATCTATCCTCCAAAGCTCTCCCCTTCCTTCCCTGCAGCATGCACTAAATTCCCTTATTATTCACTGATTTCCATCCTTGTAGGATTAGAGATCAGGAGAACGAAACGCTCCTAACACTTTATATTAATTTTATAATTCTAAAGGATTCATTAGAAGATGTAGCTACAATAATGACTGTAACTGATATATCTATAAATAAATAATGCTACATTTCTAATGACTTCCAAGGCACAATCATTTATAATAATTGCCTTACCAATGTTTTTTTTCCCCTTGCCTCACCATGGGAATATCAGAAAGAAAATTACCACTCCTAGATAATATTGGAAGAGTCTATGGGTAAAATTTACATTTCCTTTGCTAAAACTTCATCTGTTAATTAATAAAATGTTACCTAACAACACCCCCACAGCCATGTCGCAGCTTTTTCCTGCTGTAAGCTTGGACAAAAATAAAATCCTGTTTGCACGAGAATATTTAAGTGCTACCAAAGTGATTTAACACATCACTTAATTAGGCAATGGGATTTGGTCTACTTTGGAGGGGGTCAAATGACGGGGTGAGAGGGGCAGAAATAGGAAAGCAAAGGTTCACAGACAGATCTGCGGCCAGAAGCCAGCTCTGCTGGCTCCCAGGTCCGCTCCCAGGCCCTGGGGGTTTGCTGCCTCTCTCTGCAGGCTGGCTGGGTTTCAAGGCTATGGGTGGATAGCAGGCGATAACAGACTCCACAGAGTCCTTCTAGATTTAGTGCAAGACCTTTGAAGATGATTTCTTCATTTGCCAAATAGATTTTTAATCCCCGTGGGTGGAGAGGAGGGCTCCAGAGCGTGGCCCCGCTGCCTCGGAGGACGGGAGCTCGTATACTGCTTGTCAGCACAGCCTCCTGCCGGTGCCGTGGCTGGTTTCCCTTATGGACGGACTTTCCGAGCACCTTCCAGAGCCTCTTGAAAATGATGGTGTGTGCAAAAAAAGCTGGAAAAGCTGTCAAAATCCATGCAAGTAACTCTTCCCAATTATCTTCCTCTTTCTTGGGGCTTTTACAGAGAGACGAAAGCTAGGCCATGTTGCTCTTAAGAGCAGAAATCCTTGCCAGCGAGGGACCTGGGGCGGGCTGCTGGTGGGCTGTGCACTGAAATGGGGATTACGGGCATGGGGGTGCAGCTCCCCTGCAGCCACCGAGGCTCGGGGGCCAGCATCCTGCACCCGCGGCACACGATGCTGCCAGAGATGCTCGCATGGGCAATGCAGTGGGCTCCAAATCCAAGGGACTTCTCCCTCAGAGAAAAAGAGGTGAAAGACCACATTCTCTGGCATGTTTTTGCCCTTTTTAAAGGCGCTGCTCGCCCTAGGGAGCTCCCACACAAGCCAAAGGGCAGCGGTGGTGTTTGCGGGGGTGATGCAGGAGTCCTGGTTTCTGTACATCACTCCCTCAGGGAACGCTCCGCACTGCTTCGAGATTACGGGGTGGAAGAAAACCCTGCTGGTTATGTGGCTTTTGTGGAGTTTTACTCAGCCCTGAAACCCCACTCGGGCCGTAGCCGTTTGAGCGAGGATCTCACAGCCCAGCCCTCAGCCAAGCATCCCCGGCCACGGCAGCCATGAGCGGGGGAAGGCAGCCTGGGGTCTCAGGCTGACAAGGGCTCCCTGAAGAAATCCCAGCAAACACCACCTGCACCACTGCATCTGCCAGTCTGGCCTGTGAGCGAATAAACTCATGGGGATGGAACTACCCAACGCAAAAACTTCTCACACCATCTTCAGTGTCAGTCCACACCAGGCAAACACAAACCCTGAGGGATGCAACTCAGTTGGCAATGCAGCCGCTCTTCAGGTAAGAAACACAGCTGGCTCTTTTTTCTAGGAACATAAATTTATCTGAAATGAGATAGATTTATTTTTTCCATTGGATGAAATACCTGTAGCCCGGTCCAGGGTTGGTGAAAACTTGTAACGCTCCTTCCACAGCCAGGAGAGTTTCTGTTTCTGTTTTCCCATACAGGGATGGCTGAAAATGGAAACCCCACACAAGGTGACAAAGGCAGACCATGAAATGGCCTCTGCTCAAGTGATGTGGGTCTAACTCTGACCAGACAAAGACAGGGAGCTGGAGGGAGGGGGGGTGAGATAAAGAAATGGGAGGATGGGTCAGGGTTATTCAATAAAAAAAGCCAGAAATAGATCTTGCTTCTCCCTCCTCCAGCCTGGGCTGTTTCAGGGCTCAAACCAAAAAAGGCACGAGGCGTGCCTTTGGGGACCTGCAGGGATCTAAGTGACTTAAGCATAACTTAGGGTTAACAGTCAGGCTTTAGAAAAGCAGCAGAGCTGCTGCCTCCAGCAGCTTGATATTCTGCAGTACTGGCCCACTTTTTTCCTGGTTTGTTACACTCATGTTTTAAAGATAGAAAGGCATCTGCAGCAGTAGCAGCAAAGTCCACTTGCAAAGTGACTCCAACCACCCTAATTCTTAGCAAGAGCTTATCTTGCATATATGCACACATGCTGTATCTTGGAGGGAGTGAGAAACCATTCTGCAATGCCAACTGGTCCTGAAACACTCTGCAAGTGCAGCTCGGCCGTCTGTGAGGGCTTCTCACCTTGGCCAGGGTTTGCTTCTCCGTTGCAGAGATGTCCTCGCCATGCCTAACCCATCTCCCTGGAGGGCACTTGATCCCAGCCCAGACACATG